TTCCGAGAAGTGAAAATTACCATACAAACTCCAGTTAGATCTGACTAACTGTTGAAATTTAATAAGAGTTCATGTTTGAGCGATCTCCTCTTAATCATATTGAAAGTATACTATTTACGGATAATTTTCTAGTAATGATGGATATATTTATCTAATCTATGTATATCTACTCCTTTAGAAGTTAGCAAGAATTGTACTTGTGTTTCTTTCTCTAAAAGTCATTTTTTTTACATATACTATTCGGTAAATGTGTAAAAAAAGACCTAGAGGAAGAAACACAAGTACAATTCTTACTAACTTCTAAAGGAGTAGATATACATAGATTAGATAAATATATCCATCATTACTAGAAAATTAGCTGCAAATAGGATACTTTCAAAATGATTCACAGGGAATTGCTCTTATACGTTCTTTTGTAACAATAATATGCCATTTAAACGCATTCAAATGCATTGAAACGCAAATTTTTACAAATTTTTTTTCATGGGTACCGAGAAGTACCAAGAAGTACGAAAAAGTACGAAGAAGTACCAAAAAGTACCAAAAAGTACGAAGAAGTACAAAGAAGTACAAGAAGTACAGAAGTCCGCTTGTTCTCCCTTGGTCATTTCTCTGTATACCCATCACTGTCCCAAAACCTTTTTGCATGAAACTGAAGCTTTAGGCACGCACTACTTGTGGTAGAAAGATAAAATCAATTCATTTTGAACTCAAAATTTTACGCATAACCGGTGTAACTTGCAGCAAGTGATATTCAAGTAGTGAATTTGAAGTCAAACTAGGCAATCGTGCTATTATTCAAAAGATCTCTGTGATTAGAAGTAATTTACTTTTCGATAAGCAGCTGCTTATAAGGAATCAACTGTGATTTGATATGTATTCTTTAAATCTTGTTAAAATTGAGCGGTAATGAGAACTGACATTTAGAGCTACGCAATGGTGAGCTGCATGAAACAAGATCTGGCATACTCGTAGAGATACGAGCATCGAAAGGTCAAAATCACCCGAATCTCGTATTTCGCGTGAAATAGAGCCAATCGAACTTAAACTTTTAGAAAGACATTTTTTTCTCTTGTGATCATGCACAAGAACTAGCAACTGTTGTATATCCAGTAATGAGAAATAGGTTTGACTACACATCACCGAGTAAAATATGTCTATGATCGTATCGGGAGTAATGGTGATGAAAAATACGTTTCACGATAACATATGCCATTGAATTTAGTGTTTATTTTTGTTGATTCTAAAGATCGTGTGTGTTTTACTCGTAGATTAAACGACTTTTGCTAGGATTTTACTGCTAACACCGGAAAATTTGATTTTTTAAAAAAATGAAACACTATTTTTGAACAATGGATTCATATTTCTTTTCTCCTCAATAGACTGATTTTATTCAACTATTTTTTTAAATTCTTCTAGATAGGTTCACAAAATGTATATGAAATGTTCTTGCAATTTTTCTTAAGTTCGAATTCTGAAAAAGTACTATTAAGACATTTTTCTACAGAATTGAGTGAGAATCGAGAATAACATGCATGGTCTATTGTCAATAGGAGGCAGTATCCTAGAGGATAAATGAAATCACTGATTTTCGGTTAAATTCTAAATAATCCACTTATTCAATTCTTGGATAACTATCCATATTACTTGAATCGACAAAAACAAATATCAATCAAAAACTGAAATACTTCTCCTTCGCCGATGAGGTCCAATTTTTTTAAAATTTGCTTGGTTCCATCGCGTGTTATGTGTGTACCCGGAAAGAAGACCTCATGAATAACCATACTTATAGCTATAATCACTCCAAGACCAACAACTAGAAGTACCCAGGTTATGGGTGAGACGAGCGCACAATGAGCAAATCGTAGATTAAAACTAAACATATTTTGCATTAATATATCATCAAACACGGTATTTTCAGGTGACTCAGGATAATCTTGATCTTGTTCGATCGATTCGAATGTCGAGTAGGAGATTTCTTCTACTGCTCCATACGGACAAAATGAATTTGGTGATGTGCACAGTGAACAGTTGCTTGAATATGTGTATGTGCCATTGGAACATGGCATACAGAGTTCGATTCCGGTATAGTTTCGATAGGTACCACGAATGCAAGAAACAGTATTGGATGTAAAATATCTTGAATTAGTATTCGGATAGGTACCCGCCGGTGCCGAGTAAATAATACCTGGAATGCCCAAATCATCGAAAATGGCTAAATGACCAAATGGTGAACAAACCAAACGAATGAACGGTGGCCGCATCCATGGAAAAGTAATTTGCTGACTATTGGGATAGATAAGAATCGGTTGTGTACTGTCTGAAAATCCGTCCAATTGAATATCATATATATGCACGAATGACGAGATCCATTGATAATTTGAATATGTATAACTATTGGCTAGAATCACTGCCTTTTCACCTTGATCATCTAACCATGCCACACTTTTACCAAATCCCATCAGTCCAATTCCATTTTGACGAGTGCCGATGGGATGCTGAGGATCATCCAAAGAATATAGCAGAACCATATTGAATGATTGAACACCGATTAATACGCGTCGTGTGTGCCAAGCAATGCTCACGGACATAACTGTCTGTGCAGAATAATCGCGACTATTCGTGGCATACTGATTGATGCGTGGATCGTAATAAGGAAATTGATTGGCATCAATCATAGAAAATGCACTTGTACGAATAGGACATGACAAGGATCTGTTTAATGATACAATGAAGCCACAGTTGAGTGCCACAGTCGGTGTTGATTGGCAATAGCCAACTACAACAGCGTAATCGATATTGGCACCGATATCTACTGCCCGTGGGGAAATACCAAGTGTGTTCGACCATACAGTTAATTGAAATGCTGAGTTTAATTCGTAATAGAATACGAAATCATCAGCAAATCCATAGACGCCTGTATTTTCGCCATTGATACTAATGATGAAATTGTCCTGTGTTGTATAGTTAGACACAATCTGTTCATTGCTTAAATAAAACGAGCATGTACCATTGCTCTCGAAAAAGCCGATGACATTTCGTCCTTGCAAATCGATGCAATTATAGACGAACGAACTGATATTAGAGACAGGAACGGCAACACTATAGACAAAATCACATGTGGTCTCATTATAATTGATCACACAAACGATCATAGTGTTAAGAAATACCGGTACAGTGTACCAGGCTGCGTTTAAATTATCGACAAAGACCATCAAACCATCATTCATAGCAATTTTGATGCCATAAAGATCATAATCGCTGCTCAATTTCGTGTAGGAAGATACGCAGTGAATCTGGAGAAGGAGGAGAAGCGTGACCATCACTAGCACCATAATGAGTGAGATATGTCTGCTATCTTGCTCGTGTATCCACATTCGTTCTCGATGATAACAATTCTGAATGAAAAATTTTTCATTCACATACGGTACTTTTCAATTGTTTATGGAACGTTGTGAGCGACAATAACTGAAACGATCTATTGCTGTTTAAAAAAATATATAAGTTAGAAATTCATTAAGTCAATTCTAAGCTCGAAAAAATTCCATAGATTCTCATAAGAAATATGATCAGTTTCTACAATAAATCTCATATCCTTCCATACCAGTATATATCTCCTAATAAAAGAGAGAGATGATTGTTATACGACAAATCTCGATATGAACTGTAACAAAATCTGCTTCTAAATAGTAAGTACTAAGTCTATGAAAGTACATAGATCAGCGATAACAGTTCCCCACAGACACGATTTCATTTTATTGCATAGACGATAAATAGCGCCTGTACCGGTCTGAATCAATCAGAGCGAACTGGATCAGTCAATATACGAGCATGAGTTATACTTCATTTTGAAAGCCCCAATAGGTTAAAATCAAAAGATCTATTTGTGGGTTCTTCCACTGCCTAACTAGCATGTCCAGTATGCCATTTTTCTTCTGTGATTTTATCATTATTCTTTTTTTTTTGTTCTTGTCTTCGCTCAATCAATCAGCAACCACAGATCTTCTTTTCAAAGAAGATCCAAGATAAAATGAATTCTGCTGTGATGACCTCAGCGATAGTAAGCACATGCGCTCCTCTTATTTGATTTTGATTGCAGCTATTTAAAACGGATTTTCCTTTAGACAACGAGTGACTCTACGAGACACTATGTTCTCATTATAACCATTTCTCTGACAGAAAATGTTATTCAAACTAACTTGCCAGGATATTTTGAGTGTTGCATACTGATGAAACCAAGGGGTAAATAGTGGAATCCTGGAGTACAGAATTCCCTACGTTCGTTCTAGGAGACATGATAAAAAAAGATCGAAAGGAAAAATGTCGAAAATAGAGGCGCTACAATACATGTGAATGATGCCACAAAAATTTGAGTGATGTGAAGAGTAGCGCCTCTATTTTCGATATGTTTCTTTTCGTTTTTTTCCCATCCATTCTTCTAGGATTCCCGCGAATTCCATAGAATTCCCTTAGATTCCACAGCATTCCTAAGGATTCTCAGTAAGCGCCGAAGAAGCTATAAAGAGTAGTCATCTTTGTCACAACAACTTTTCATGTTGGTATCTAGTTTTCCTTTTTTCTTCGTTTGTGTTCATGGATGTATGTACATATCGATGGCTAGCTAATTGTATTTGATTGAATAGTGGTTCTTAGGGTTGCCTTATCTCTACTCCAAGCGCGGCAACTGGATCTGTTTCTTCTTTAATCTATCAATAAACTCAGATCAATTTATTCTAACGGAGCTCTAAATACACAGTAGCATCAATGAGTTTCTTTATTAATGACTAACTTTTGACATGCTTTGATACTAATGATCATCTAATTAGTGTAGCACCATTGAGAAAAGTTCGAATCGTTTTTATTCAATTTTTGTTGCTTCGATAACTCGTGATAATCTTTCAGCCGGTGGAAGATAAGCCTTCTCAGTCAAGCCTGTGTGTGCATAGATGCAGACAAGAGCAACGTCCACACTTACACCAGCCTCTTCTTTGTTTTTCAATATGCATTGTATCGATGTTTATTTGCAAGTGATAAGCTTCTTATTTAAGAACTTAGAGTCAGGACTTTTTCTTTTTACTCTTTATCTAAGGATAAAATTGTATCTATATAGCAGTGATATTATCGTCAATTCTTCTATTATCATCGAGACATTTTTTAAATCTTTTATTCTCAAGAGTTTATTGCTCTATTTTGATACTTATTTGCTATGTTCCGTTCTGTTGTATGTTTATTATTCATCATATGAAATATACATTAAAACAGATAAATTTGCCGTGCAAAGAAAGAAAACAAGCTTCTGCATGAAAGTGTTATGAAAAATTTTATTAGAAATGTTTCATAAATTGTTCACGCGTAGTAGCAGATCTTTCTACAAAAGCAATACATCCAATGATTTAAGCTTCGCCCCCTTCCTCTCAAAAATCGATCTCGGCCCAGGAACATGCAAACCGGATGAAATTTTCAGAATTTGCTAGAGACTTAGTGGATAGGCTACGGTGAAATTTTCAGCATTATATCATCATGTTTTTGGAAGATACTCACGAAACAAGGATCACAAATAGCTCATTGGGCAACTCAAACTTCCTGTTGGCCTTCATTCTACGTTTAACTTTTCCTTTGTTTGAAAGAGCATGTCAGGATCCAAGGTATGACAGAGTCCTTTTTTCTGAACTTTTAATTTCTGTGGGAATAACATGGATAAAAATTCAATGTTTCAAAAAACTCTCAAAAAATGGCGCTCTAATTATATAGACACTTTTATATAATAGTAATAAAGCTTAATTCAAAAGGACTGCCATGCTCTGCATCTTGATGTACTATTTCAAACAAAGAAGTCATTGATTACAATGAAGCTCCTTCGAGAGTTCTGGAATGCACAATCAAAAAGCCATAAACTGAGAAAGAGGGAAAAGCTTTTCCAATTTTACTGGAAAAAGCATACTTTTCAAGCAGAAAATGACGGAAACGTCTGGAAAAAAACAAGGTGCCAAATCAGAAAGTCATATCATTTATGAAAGACCAAGCAGCGGACTATCTTCCCGTGCACTCATCTAAATTTTCTTGTTGTCGATGAAAATTGACTCTTTTCAGTGGACTTAAGACTTTAAGATTTTATTGGATTCCCTAGGATTCAGGAGAATTTCCCAGTATTCCCAGGAATTCCTCATGATTCCCTAGAATTCGAGGATTCCAGGATTCCGCTATTCACCTCTTGGATGGAACTCATATCTTGTTCAAATGAAAACATAGGTGAGCTATGAGCAAGCCGATAAAGTTTCCGATATCTAAGAACCTCATCCACAAACAGCAACTTTCCCTTCAAATCATTTCTATATATCAGCTAGAGATGCACCAGTTCCAGTTAACTGGGTCACCAGTTAAAATGCGCTTAGATAATTGAATGCAAGTTCCAATTGATCAGCTGGTAGCAGATAACTGTGTAAACAGTTAAACTGAGTTCCATTTTTCTGGTCATGTGCTTTAGGTGGTTTTCGCAATAACTCGATACCCAGTTAAATTGGGTGACCAGTTAACTGAGATTGGTACATCCCTAATCTTAGCAGTAGAAAGTCGCAGCATTGCTTGTTGAGAGCTGTTAATATGAGTTAGAAAACCGATCACATCAGTTTAAAAAAAATACGTTATCGCTATTCTATTTTAGTACTTGTGAAGCACAATTGTAGTTTATGTTTTGTTTCATATCGGTACGCATTAATTGAACTTGGAATGAACTCGCTCCACTATGGGAAATAGAAAAGATGTCGCTGTGGTGCGTTCACAAGATCATGTTTTCTCATGATAAAAATTTCTGATTTTGTAGATAACGGTCTGGATTTACTGATTTTTATAAGGGACAGAAGTACATACCAAAGACTATCAATCGGTGAGGAGACAAAAACTTGCTGTCTTGCTTTTACTGTACAAATCGAGAAATACTCCAGAACATATAATTGTTCGAATAATTTTTTTGAGAGTGTATAGGTCATCTCTCTGGTATTTGCAGTGATCGTTGCTTTTCATTTAGCTTACCTTTGCGCGTGGTGCTTCGTTGAACGTAGATTGGTGATGAAAGTCTTATGTGTGTACTAGCTGTAGCCTCGATTGAATCAAATGTATGAGGCTTCTCCATCTCCTTCCTTACTTGTCGCCGATCTAATAGTCAATAAAGACGAAGTAATGATGTTTTTCCTCTTGTCACTTTGTCTTTTTTTCTATTCATACAAAAACAAAATTAGCTAAGAAAACTTTCTTTTTAATAAGATAGCGCTATCCGTATCACTGTAATTATCGGGAAAAAATACAACGCATCCGATTCCCGAAAGGTATACATTCGAGAATCTATTTTCTCTCGGTAATGGCATCCGACAATTACGGGCACTTGTTCAGACTATTCTATTCGAGATTCACTGCAGATATGTCCGAGACGAGTGATCAATATTTTTTTTGAAAAATCGAACGGGCTGAGACGTCCAGATTACTAGCTTCATTAATGCAAAACATCTTAGACCGCTGGTATAAAGCAAAATCTATT